TTTCCTTTTTTTTTTTTTTTTTTTTTTAGAGCCCACAAATAGGGTAACATGCTAACTTTATACATCAAATACAAAAAGCATCTGTTCTTCCTTCTGTTTCACAGAAGTGAAGCTCTGGTGCAAAAAAGAAGACTTACCTGGAGTAACAACGCTCTTTAAACAAAATGTATTCTTTATACCAGGCTAAATCAGGTCAGTTAAAAAGGCAAAAATAAATATTTTTTTTTTTATCTGCAAGAAAATGTTTATTCTTTGTAAACCCCACAGAAAAAAAAAGAATGCAGCCAAGACCAAGTATTGAATGAAAATCGTGCCAAAGTAGGCAGCAAAACGGGGAAACCTCAACACAAAAAGTCAGTGACAATATTTCATGTTTTGCACAAAGATGAAAAACCTATGACATTTCTGAGTAACACTTTTATGGTGACAATTACACAAGATGATTCAAAAATGCAAATGACAGCAACATGCACACCTGGCTAAAGCTAGAAGTTTTATCCCAAAAGAATATCTGTGATTAAAATGATGAAACTTTAATACTTCTATTGACTTGCGTGTCCTACTTCATGTCTGGTTTTAATGAGGCATACATGCCAATTAACATGAAAACTTTTTAAAAAAAAAATTTCTTTTTGGAAGAACTTTGTCCTTCCAGAGTCCACTGCATGTTTGTAAAATCACAATGTTGGGTTTGTAATTTTGCTAGTTTCCAATACTATTTTGCTTCCCACCCCTCCAATCCCCACCCTCAGAAAATCTGAAACACTTTTAGAAGTCGCCAGTGCAAACACTTTCTATCAATGTATAATATACATTTTAACTTAAACCTTTGTGCAATTTATGAGTTTTCCTTTAAAACTCCTTTAAAAGTCCTTGGCACAACAGCTGAAAAATATTCAGCTCCATTTTAAATTGTCAAACACAAGGTGATATAAAGTGTAAATCACAGCTGAATAAAATAAAAAAAACCCAGAACTGCAGCTTTTATTAGCCAGCTTTACAGTCTCTTGTATACAGTACATTGCACAGTTCCGCCTTCACAATAACGCTTCCTGTAGTAATATTGTGCCTTCCACGATGCAGTATAATCAAGGCAAGTTACAGAACACTGCTGAGTTTATATCAAAATAAACAGAAGATGTAACCTTGGTTTATAATGAACATCCAAATTACCATGTACAATTTGCAGTAGACTCTGTAATGAGCTTGATATATAAGCTAGATGACAGTGAAGGGGGAAAAAATAGTTTAAACTATCAAGTTTCCTCTTGAAATGTCTTTTCCCAAGGCACTGTGAACAAGACTGTTAGCAATTCTCAATGACTAAAAACACCAATGGGAATATAAATATTTCACACAACAACCACCGTCACATCATCATCTATTCTCTTATTCTTTCCCTTAAACAACGCCCCTGAAATTTGTTTGGTCCTTTGAGGGGTAATCAAATTATCTTCGGCAACATCACATATTTGTATTTAATACATCTATCAATCAAAGCTTTGTTAGATTATTTAACCCTTTCGCTGTAAAAACTAAAGGTTTTTCCTCACTATTTCCGAATGAATCTGCAAATTCAACTAGATTATTAAAAAAAAAAACAAAACAAGAAAGGGTTCAAAATCAAGCAAAGCCCTGTGTTTTTCAAGAGGAAACCATGCAAGAGTACATAAAAAGGCAAAATTGGCTACTTGAAAACCAAGAATTGTTTTTAATGCATTGGCCAAGGAAAATAAATTGCAAAGTTCTGTGAGGTTTTCTAAAAATTTACAAGAAAAACTGATGGGCAGTTCTAGTCAATCCAGATGTTCTTTTATCCTGTTTTAAATGACAACAAATACAGTCTCACACAATACAATTTCATCTTGACTGCAAGAGACACTCCTGTGTGATGCCTTCAGCATGACAAAATTACTGGGCAAAAAGAAAATTGGCATTCATTTCTTCAAGGGCTGATAAACAGAGGCATTGGGATCAAGTCCAGAAGGGCTGGTCTCCACAAATTTGGAAGAGTAATGTGGGGAAACAGGACTCAGAGTGCTGGTGGCTGCAGTGTATGTTATGCTGGGCATTACTGCCATAACTTCTGCAATCTTCTGTTTTAGGTCCTTGATTTCCTGATCTTTTTGAATGATTTGCCCTGAAAACAGCAAATAACATCACTTAGAACTAGCAGCATGTTCTCACCCTCCACCGGCTGAAGAGCTGTTGAAGTGAAACCCCCAGAAGACATGGAGTGCTCTAACGTGGTATCAGAGAACAACTCGAGTAACTCCTGGTTTGTCTTAACGACCTACATTTAATTACCTCTAGTTAGCATGTAACACAACTAGACAGAGCACTTCCAGTAGATTTTGCACTGTCTGGGTACACAGCTGCACCATACCAAAAGATTTCTTCTATGGCTCAACGTTTTTCTGCCCGTTTCTGTTCACATTTTACAAGCACCTCACAGGAGCACAAGTGTTTGCTTATTAAATGTGTTAGTTATTTTCAAAACTGTCCTCATCATTTCCCTAAACCCTCTTTGCACACACTCACATCATCACTCCAGCAATTTATGAAACTACGTGAAGAGAAACAAAATAAAATTTCTTACTCTAATGAAGTTTTCCTGCAACCAAGTTAACTTCTGCAAGGAAACTAAACAGGTACTAAATCAAAAGGTTATTTAATTTTGCTTCACAGTTTGCACAGCTGAACAAAGGACAGTCTGGGCAGGGTTTTAGCCTGGCTTCATGCTCCCTCTGGTGGCTGCAACACCGGCCCAACACGGACACCAGCATCCCCACTGACCTCACCAGCGTGAAGTTTAAGACTGATTGGGTTATTTTTTTCCCCCACATTTAGGTTGTATTTACTTCAGGAATAATAAAATATTATTAGGATCCAAGGACAAGGGATTAATAGATGGCAACTATCTTCTAGCTCTTCAAAATAAGTTCTCCAGCTTTAAGGTAATGGTTTATAAAACCATAGAAAATCATCATAAATTAAATGCCACCCTGACATTTATTGTCTCCAGCTCAATAGCTTGGGTAAATAAGGTCAGCTGATCGGCTTAGGCTCACATTCACAAAGCCCTGAAAAGCTGACATGCTGAGTGGGGGCTGTAGCCCACCCCTGAATAAAAAGATAGGATGTTCTGTCCCCATGATTTCAGTCACTACTGTGTTGTTGAATTAAACTAGCCCACATTACCTTGGGCAATCTCAAGCTGCCGTTTTGCATCTCCTAACGCAGAGAACAGATCCAGCTTGATTCTTGTCTCTGCACTCAGGCTGTTCTCTAAGTGCTGTGTTTTATCCTGCATGGCTGAAAGTGCTGACATTAACACCTCCGTATCCTTCTCATTTTCCTTGTACTTCCGCAGTTCCTGTAGGAGTAATTAGGACAAATGTTATTCTCGTCGACTTTACACATGAGATATACTGAGAAGTCTTTCTCTTCCCCACAGCACACCACTGGGCCTGGTATTAATACTGTAAAATTAAAATGATGGTTAATTAAGGACATTGCAATATTACCTTCAGTAATTATACATGACCATCATACAAGTGATTAAAGCCATATTGTATAATGCATAATTACAGTGCGGTGAGCAAGTACCATTTACTCTGCTTCTCAGCCCTCTATCATCCATATCAAGACCCTCCACCCAGAAATCCTCCTCAGCACTTCCAGGTGCCAGCTAAGCAGCCGCAGAGTCCTCTCAGCCAAGCTGTGGAGTATGAAAACACTTCCCACAAGCAAAATGGCTAGACTGGGGACTGATCTCTTGCTAGACAGTTTAAAGTGATACTAAATCAGTATTTTAAGCTATTTCAGTTGGCTGATGAGAGGGATTTCTTTATCTCACAATACTTCCCACACTGAACCTAACTGTGCTGCAAACCTAGAAATTTAGAAAAAAAAAAAAAAAAGGAGGGAGCAAGTATTCTACACAAACAGGCACCTTGTGGCTGGGAAGTATGCAATAACATTTTGACTATGAAAAAAAAAAGAAATACTATACACACATACACACAAAAAAAAAGAGTTCTATATTTTAAAATTAAGAAATAATAGTACAACATCAAAAATACTAACACCTGTCCCAAAAAGCTTCTCTAACAGTTTGAAGATGCTGATAAAATGTAAAAGCTTGACTATAGCTGGTTTTAGTTATTTGAGAGCCATGCTCATATTCCGCATGGATAAACCAATAAACCACACTTGTTTTCAAGGGTTTGGTAAACCCAGGAACAAGGCTGCACATGTTATTTGGAAATAAGTTCACAATAACACCAGGTGGATTTTGAAGAGTGTCTAAAAAACCACAAGACATTAAAAATACATATTCATGCAAATTGTCAGTTGATAGTCCGAGTACGTCTTTAGGAACAGACATTTTAAAGGAATAAGGTCAACTTCAACTCACACATTTGAGCTCTTAAACTCTAACATGCCAGACAATGTGTCTGCTACAAGTCTAATAATGTACTTTCCATATTCAAGCACTTTCACACACAAAAAAAATATGTCTGGCCAGTGATTAAGACTTCATGGAGTAAGCAATCTTACTTGCTAGCAGTGAAATTTATGATACATACTGGCAACAACCTCCTCCCATTAGACAAACAATGTTGTTGAGGAGATTATATTCTCAGTCTATCCAGACCATTGGCTCAGGAAGAAAATTCTAATAATTTAAACAACTGAATGGTGTGGAGCTGAGACTATTAACCTTTCTCATACCCACACTCTTTCAAAGCCTGATGCAAGACATGCAAGACAGACATCAGAAGAGCATAATTCTTGACAGTGCTGATTGCCTTTTATGTAGATCCACCAATTTCAGAGGGCTGAAAGCACTCATTGTGATGCTGATCTAAGCCTCCGGTGCTTTCTCATTACCTGAACTTTCATTTCTAGTTCTCGTATCTGATCTTCTTTCAGCTTTATGTCAATTGTTAGCTTCTTGCACTCTGTCTCCAGCTCCCGGATACGATTTCGTAAAGTTTCAGTACATTCTCCTCTGCAGAAAAAAACATTAAGAGAGAAGATGATAAAAAAAAGAATGAAGCTATCATTCCTGAATTGTTTATAATATGAAAATTGAGATAAATACTGAAGAATGAAAAAAGGAACCTAACTTTGATCTCAGCAAGAGAATTTCCCTTATGGTAACAATGCAAAAAGCTTCAAAAAGTTATTCAGTGTTATGTCTCAAGTGTTAGAAATTTGGAATATTTATAAAATATGAAGAACAGGAAAGCAGAAATTATTTTTTAAAAGATATTTAGAGCACTGCACATTAAAGTCATCCACACTTGTGCCATGCTTTCATCTTGATAAACTTACCATCTATACACCTATGTTACTACTGAACCACCACTGTGCTGAGCACTGGTAGTCACTGGCTAGAGCAGAAAACTTCCAAGATGTGAGAACAAGACATCTCATGGCAAGTATTTTAGCCAACGTCACTGCATGAATCCTCGATTCACAGTCCCCACATGAAAGGGGATGTCCCATTTTTTAAAGCAGACTGACCCATGCAGGGTACAACATCTTTCTGTCAGTACAGTCAAGGTCCAGCAGATAATTTAGAGCACATTCACCCTTTACACCCTGTGAATGTGATGTACATGAGTACTGAGACTCAGCTTCACAGAAAGAAATCTCCCAGTCCTCCCACTGCCTTAACACAAATAAATTGTATTTATATTATACAAATAAAGCTCTTTTGTAAAAAAAAAAAAAAAGAAAAAAGACTACTCCTTCACGTACAGAAGAGTGAAAAATGCATTCCCAAATCCCCCCTAAACACATTTCAGTAGCAACAGCTACATTTCAGTAATTTTCTGGAGCTGAGCTTGTTTCTGGGGTAGAATGAAGTACCTTGTAGCAGCAGCAAATGCGACAGCACGTGCAGCAGTTGCTTCTTCCAACTTCTTTCTTTTCTTTTCTTCCATTAATTGTTTTTCTACAAAGGCTCGTGCCTCCTGCTCTGCCTTTAGTTTCTTCTCCAACTGGCTGATCATTTGTTTATCTTTTTGTTTCATTTGTACAGCATTGTGTAATCTGGAAGGTAACAGGTATGGGATTTAACGTACGATTTCACTTAGTAAAAATAAACTTGCTGTCAATGGTCCCAAACGAGTCTTGTTGGATTTACAAATGCCTCAAACTTTGTAGTCTTAAGGTAACACTTCCCCTTTACCAGACTACAGTCATCAGCAACTAATGTACACAGCTGTGTAGAAGCACATACTTGTTCTGAAGCAGTTCGTTTTCTTGCCGGAGCTGTCCGATTTCAGATCGAATTCCCCGCTCTGTGTTAGTCAGAGAACTGATCTGACTACGTAGCTCCTGCTCGATCTGCCTGCTCGCTTGCAGGTCAGCCTTTAACTTTTTAATATCTTGTTCCAACCTAAGAAAGACAATTTTAAAAGACAATTTCAACTTTATTTCCCAGTTATCCAAAGGTTCAAGCACGTTATATAAAAATAAGCAGAATAAACATCGTACCATCTGCCAACCCCCCAAACTCTTCATACTTAAAATAAGCAACCTTCAGAAATTATGTCTATCCTTACTAATTAATGTTTTATATAACTATAAATATATACCTGTATGTATAGCTATACACACACACTTCGTAACCTCCCACAGGAATTTTGTTTTCCTCCACACGCTGCAGAGTTGTAAAACAAATCCTATGGAATTATATTTTTCTCCTTCTAGCAGAAGTGAAACGGGTAAGTCTCAGAAATTGTAAATAAGGACAGTTGCACATATGAACAAATTTTACTTTTCTCAACAAATTACGAGTTTCATTTGTTAGTTATAGCTGAGCTATGGAACATACTGCTGAATTCTCACCTAAACTTTTTTTTTCTCCCCCCTTTGAAGAACATGACGCGCATGTTGAATAAAGAGTACGTGTTAAGTCATCCACAGTTCAGGAGTCAGTAAATTTAGTTTTAATTGCTCCTGAACAGAGACCATCTGCTATATGCTTAACTGTAGCTTTTGAAAGTTCTTGAAGACTCATGCAAGCTTATTAATTAAAATATTTTTAACCAAAATTGGTTAAATAAAACACATTTCTAAAGAGAGGCACCCAGCTAGCCTTACTTTTTCCCCCACATTTTCAAAATAAGGTTACTGAGTCTTAGAATGAAAAGGCATCACAGGTGAAGAGTCAACCATTTTCTGAGCACTGTTACATAGTTAAAGCTAATACGCCTCTCAGTCATTCACACCTAATCCTAATTTGCTCCATCAGTTATTGATTTAGAAGTTTTTAAATGTTCATAAAAAAAAGATAAAGATGTTTTTATTTCCTGAAGTTCCATACAGAATTAGTGGTAGTTGAACATTAAGACTTGGGAAAAAGAGTCACAAAAGCCCAAATGAGCTGCCCTTCTTGACATTCGCTAGCGCAGACGAACGCCAAGAGCTCTTTGTCCTCATAATGAAAACACTTAGCTCTTTGGGGCTTCAGCGCAGGAAAATCTCAACCTAAAATGCTAATGAGAGATGTAACAATATGAGGCATAAGAACATCCTGTGTGAACGAATCAATAGGTTAAATGCGGACTCATCAAACTTATGGAAATTCATAAAAATACATCTGTAATAGGCTGAAATGGCACTGAAGAGGTCTACTGGGTGAATGAACAGCAAGAAGCAGCCTATAAAGGAGCATGGTCTATAACACACTTATGTAACTTAAATGCTCAGATCCCACTTTCTACAGCTCTACTAAGCTGTCTTTCCAGCTACACCTGAACTTCTGGCAAGAAGAATTCCTTTTAATATAGTATAAACTGTTGTCAAACGTACCTTTAAAAAGAAAAAACCAACTTAATAGGCAAATAGTAATAACACAAAACAAATACACATTTCATATTGAAGGCTACGCATCATTTCAACACCTTGTACTCTGTTGTAGGAGGAAAAGAATTTGCAAACCTAACCAAATATTCACTCAACCACAGCACACAAACCAAAAATGGAAAACTCATCAGCAGGCATTACTAGGTGTGTGTTTTCACCGTGTTCAGTATGTGAAGTGATAGAGCTGGACAGTCGCTGGGCAATGATCTAGCAGTTCAATTTAATCTTCTGATAAACAGTAACTAAGTGTTTTAGAAAGAGCAAACATTAACTGAAGAGAGTAAGATGCTGTAGGAAGCGTTAACAGACTGTTTTTTGCCAACAGCTGACTGGTTTTAATACAGGTTTTCATAAATAAGTGAAAAAATGGTGGGTAGGACAATGTAAAGGAATGCACATAAACCACACGCACTTTACATCGACAAGTATCTATAAATAATTTCCACATACATGTCTACAATAAAGTGATAACCATGAAAATAAGACAGCTGTTAATAGCCTCTTCCTTATAACTAACACTATGTCAAACTTGCTCAAATAAGATATACCAGGATTTATTTTGGGTATTTAGTATTCCAGGAAAAGAAGCACTGATCAGGTAAAGCTCAAATAAATCAGAGGTGCTGGCACAGGACAAGCTGAATTTGTATTTTTGGCAACAGAGCACTGACATTAGTTCAAATTTCTTAAGCCATCTGGTTCATGGCATTCCTGCCGGTTTCAGTATGGACTCTGTACTTGCAGTGCTCATGGGGCTGGTCCAGACTGTGCTGTAAAGAAAGACGAAACCTGTGTGATCAGTAGAACGCACACAAACGTGAGCAGAAAGGATGTCTACTTCCCAAACCAGGAGGAATTACGAGAGGTCGCAAGCCACAGCCTTCCTTTTTTACTCAGCGTTAGGTGAATGTCCAGCCAGACCTGTCTACATTAAATTTGTGAGAATCGGGATCAGGAAGGGTTGTACACACACGATACATCGTTCAAATCCTGCCTCAACACAGAGCCAAAGCCTCGTGGATGTCCTTTCTACCTTAGCTTTTCAAGCATGCTCCAAGTGTTAAATATTCATCCTTTGAGTCTGAAGGATCACAAGGGACTCGGGGTAACTTTTATGGGAAAATGAGACTGACCTGCCCTTCATTACAACTTTCACTGTAAATCCCAAAGGAGACAGGACTAAACTCAACAAGAACTGATCAAACTCTGGGTGCTTCTGTTGTTTATGAAAAACCAGTGGGCCACACCACTAAACCACGTGCAGGCAGACCACACACCAACAGAATATTACAGCCTATGAGCAGCTGGTGCTGCTTGCCTGCAACTCTTTCTTCACTGAATGCGGCAGAGAGGAGTTTCTTTTTCTTAAAAACTAGCAGGTGTAGAGTGGGAATTATACACCTTGTGTGTTCATTCAAACACAAAGACTCCTTGATTTACTAGCCACTACAAATGAGCTCACAGTAAGCTCAGGAGTAAGAGAGCGGCAACTTCACCAGTTCGACTTACTGGAATCCTTTGATTAGAGCGCTTCTACACATCTGATTTTTTCAGACCACCATACAGTTAAAAGCTCTGTTCTGTTCTGAAACAATCACTTCTATCAGTACAGATGACCTTAAACAGTCAAAAGACAGAATAACATATGTAAAACATGATCAATCTCCATACAGCAAGTGATCAACTACTGTAGTGCAATCCCAAAGGGGCAGAAGAGAATTAATACTGACAAAACTAATCTCTTCCAAGTCAATGGCAGACAAAACCATTAGAAATTTATCTGTCGATGGGCTTGTTTAGAAATAAGTTTTAAAGTAAATTTTTACCAATTTTAATTATTCCTTTTCATTATGCCATATTTTTTGCTATAGCTTTAAATAGGAGAGCAGATGTTTTCTGCAATTTATAGAGCAAATAAATGCTCCTTACTATCTAAAATGAGTTAGGAAGATAATAATCCATCATAATGCAGGGACCAAATGTTTCCTATATGGTTTATGGTTTCTCTCCCAGACCTGCTGTAATTAGCTAGAGATACAATTTAATTTAAAAAAAAAAAAAACAAAACCAACAACCCACCAAACAAAAACCCAAAACCACAAAACAACCACATGAAGTTCATTTCCCCTCAAAACCACATGTACTCCTTGCATTCTCTGGTGTGTAACCATGTTCTTATCCATCTTATGAAGTCCAGTCAAACATTTTCAGCCTAAAAATTTCCTCCTGTGGAACAGTAAGTCAAAGTCCTTCTCCGTATATAGACAGAGAGGTCATCCATCATTTTCAGAGAAATACAAGGAGATTAAAAACACCCTTTCTGTTGCCCCCTTTCTAAAATGAAAGCGCATCATCAAGGTAAACCAATACAATGTCATAAAGCTTCACTGCTACAAGCACAGACTAGCGTGTGGAGTCTTCCCTCCTCCCCTCCGTAATAGTCTGCACTACTGTTACAATGATAAATGACCCAATAAGACTGCTTTTTTTTTTTTCTTTCTTCCTTTTTTTTATTATTATTCTTTCTACCATTTCATTTTCTGCTTAAGTCTCTTATTTCCAGGCTTATTGGAAAAGTTATTTACAAAGGGCGGGTGAAGAAAACCTGACTTCTAGAAGATACTTTTCTCTATTGCTGCACAAACTACAAGTCATTTTGACACACAACTATTTTTAAAATGAGGGTTTATAGTTGCAGATTATTACATGGTGCTGTTTATACATCCAAGGCCAATTTCTTTCGGTTTGTCATTACTATAAATGCAGATTTACCCATTTTCTTTTCTCAACACTATCACATATCATTTCTGATCTCACTGACGAAGAGAATTAATCAGTGATCACCTCCAAGATTCAGTATTTTTCCAAACGCTTCAGGGAAGATTGATGGATCAACTTAAAGACAACTCAATTCAGCTTACTCCTCCTAAGTATCAGTAACTGGTGAATAATATACTCTCGTGCCTTCGTTTACTCAGTCAATGCAATTCCATAATCACATGGCAACTGCACACAAATTAAACACAATTTATATAAAAATTAAAGTTTTAAGAGAGCCAGAAGGCACTCAATTCTTTTTTAAGAGACACTTTTTTTTTTTTTTCCTTTCTTCTGTTCAAGCCCAATCTGTTGGCAGAAGCACCAAAAAAAAAAAAAAAAAAAAAAATCAATCTGCAGCAATTACAGCTTGGACTTTTTCCATACATCAAGCCCCTAAAACATGAACAAAACCTCCTGCACCTCAGAAGCGACAGTGAAACAGTTACAAGAAGTTAACTTGCTCTGTACCTACTGACAAACAATATTAAGTGTAAAGGGATACCACATTTATCCCTCCATCAGATAACAAATGTACCTCCCCCTCCACTGCCCCAATTACCATGGTGTTGGGAAATGAGCAGCTCAGATCAGAGATTCAATTATGAAGTGCCTGACAAACAAACAGCAGATTTCAGTATCCATCAGTAGATACTCAGATGATGGTCCCAGGGCTGGAGCACCACCCTGTGAGGACAGGCTGAGAGTTGGGGGGTTCAGCTGGAGAAGAGAAGCTCAGGGGAGACCTTAGAGGGGCCTCCCAGGGCTGAAAGGGGCTGCGGGAAAGGGAGGAGGGACTCTGGATCAGGGGGTGTAGGGGTAGGGTGGGAGTTAATGGGTTTATACTGAAAGAGGGGAGATTTAGATTAGATAAAGGAAGAAATTCTTCCCTGTGGGGTGGTGAGGCCCTGGCACAGGCTGCCCGGAGACGCTGTGGCTGCCCCCTCCCTGGAAGGGTTCAAGGCCAGGTTGGAGGGGGCTTTGGGCAACCTGGGCTAGTGGGAGGTGTCCCTGCCCGGGACAGGGGGGTTGGGACTAGAGGGGCTTTAAGGTCCCTCCCAACCCAAACCATTTCATGAGTCTGTAAATTCATTTCAACTACAGGAACAAAAAAAACGTAAGAGATTACTTTCAGGGCTGATCAGCAGGGATGGAGCTTCCTGAAGCCCTCTGCTCTAGCTCTCAGGATGACAATAACATAACCTAGAGATGGGGATCGGTACCTTCCTCTCCAGAAAACCAAACACACATGCACTAACTAGTTACCAGACAGAACAAAAACTTACTGTTTCAAATAAGAGCAACGTTTTATATGTAAAATAGAAACTTAAATTGATTAAGAGTACCCTTTCAGATGTCACACCAAGTATTTAAGACAAAAAGTTAACAAGCATGCAAGACTTTTGTTCTCAGAAAACCCCAATCTTCCCTGTCTTGGATAACCCCTGTTAATCCTGAGTCCCTAGCAGTCATAAGGCATACTTTACATTTAATGCTGGTTAGTCAGCTCAAGGAAATAATTTGTGAACACAAAAGGAAAGCAGCTTGGTTCTGACATCCTGCTGCGAGTCTGCTGGACAAGAAGTTATAAAAAGCATCTTTATTTGGAAGCCTAGCAGTTCTGATCTGGAAGTCAGACACAAATGCAGGACTTTACACAGCCCTTTTCAGGGTACAGCATTGATGTAGACTAAAAGTTTACGAACAGGAATGAGTAATACTGCTGGAAGTGGAAAAGATGATGAACAAATGCCTTACACTCCAGGGAGAGGATAACTGACAAGTTAAAAAAAATAAACATGGATTTTTAAATTTAAGTGCATTCTATCCCAACCAATTTGTGAGGTAAGTTTATGCTTCCATTGGTGTAGGAGTTACATACTCAACCTTAATAGAAACAAGATTTCATGAATGATTTCAGTCATCGACATTCGTAAGAAACTGAGCAACAACACACAGGACGTTGGTGTTTTAAGTGCTCCTGGCTCGCCTGCATGGGGAAATCAGTGTACAATAAGCAGCTACACGAAGCACAACAGCCACATCACACCCACACATCGCACAGAAACACTCGACAAACAAGAGACTGAAGGAGCTTAATTCACATTCAGGGCAGAGGAAGGCTACGTTGCACAAAGGCACTTTCAGAGTACACTAATCGTGTGCGCCGTCCCTACCCAGTGAGTTAGAGGAGCCAGAATTCTCTAAGGGCCCAGTCTAGGTTATTGTATGCTCACTTCTGCATTAGAAAGCCCACACTGAACAATTACAATGACCACCTGGTCACTGCACACACACACACAAGCCCATAAAAATTTCAATGTGTAATTTAAAACTTAAAACATACAAGGTTTAAAACTCATTCCTTGTCACAGCTACATGGGACAAAATTCTTAGCCTGGCAGGTCATTCTATAAAGCACTTTTCTCAAGACTTATGAATATTCTGAACTGCAGCAAAGCTGAGCTGACTTGTTCTTGTCTTCAGTGAGCAAATAAGCCATATAAAGAGTGTAGAGATGCCCATCTGAAACTGGCAACGTACAAAACCAGCAGGTCCTGTACATGTTTATTTAGATGCAGCTTTGCTGAAGACGGAGCCATCTGCACCCCGTTCATCTTGGCTGAATTCGATTCACAGATTAGATAGATTAGCTGGTTTCTTATTTGCTTCACACAGGTCCTCTACAGACATTAGGTATCAATTAGTTTGGATATTTAATTGGAAGAGTGATTAGAGGAGAAAATATTATTTCCATTGAAGTAATAGTAGTCACATAGCACAAATCCTCACAGACCAGAGACAAAAGTCCAATTAACAAAAGGTACCTGCAGGGAAAGCGAATCTGCAATTAAGTTGGCCAACAAGGATTTGTTGGCCAAAGAGTGTTCAGCACATGAGAAAAGGAAAAAAAAGAGACACATAGGTCAGGAATGGTATGAAAGTGCATAATTGTGCAAGAGTTTTGTTCTAGGTGTATCTCTATCCCCATTCCTAACAGTTACATACAACTTCGAAGTACTTGTTCTGGTAGCATACAACACCGTATGTCTCATGACTTTATGCTGTAAGTACTTAGCTGCATTTCATAAATACATCTTTCTTTAAACTTCAGGTAAGGATATGTAAAGATGTGACCTCTTCAATCTTTATAGTTTACAAGATAGCTGAATTAAAACCCTGTGACCTGTACTTAAACCAATAAGGCAACAGGTGTGCAAGCAAGAATCTAAACTTATCACTTCAAGGAGTTACACAGTAGCTGATACTTTGCACCTATACTTGGGAGTTGAAGATCAAAACAAAAGCCAAATATTTCAAGGGAAAAAAAAACCACAACAAAACCCCCCCATAGAACAAAAAAAACAAGACAAAACACCTGTTCAGGCACTACAAAATCCCACTGAATTCCCCAGAGATGTAAAAGTCACCCCATGGAAGATTTGTCCAGAACACACCCACTGAGCTCTGTAATAGTGATTCTCCACATTTCTCTCATGCCTTCCATCAAATGATTGTCGAAGCTATTTATTATGCCTCACAACACCCCTGTGAGGTAGGTGACTATCATATACTGAGGTAGAAAGGAAGCAATTTGCTGCAGGCTGCATAGCAAACCAGAGGCAAAAATCAGGAACAGAACCCAGAAGACCCAGTTCCTAGTTACCTTATCCTATTACCAGACAATTAGGTCTTCTTTATGTAATCATAAATTACATTTTCCTGAGAAAAAGAAAAAAGATCTGATGTACTGGAACAAAAGAAGGATAAGCCAGGCTGTTACACAATGCTCAGATCAAACTTACCTTACCAGTGCATCTGGTTTGCTCAGCTGGTTATTAGGAATACAGTTTTCCATTAAGTCCTTATGTGTGCTTGGGCTCTTGCTAGCACATTTCTGTTTTTTCTCATTTTTAGTAGATGAGGAAGGGATGCTCCCATTAGTTGCACTGTGACTGCGAGGTGAGGAGTTCACAACTCCGCTGACATTTTTGTAATTTTTGGACGAGGCAGTGCATGAGTCCTCTTTTAAGAGGTTTTCTGTACTTCCTACAAGATCATTATTTAATCTTTTACTATTGATATGGTTTTCCATATATTCAATTTCTTGTATTTTAGAGTCTACAGGTTGCAAAATATTGTTATTTATTCCAAGGTTGTGTTTCTTAGCATCCTTGTCCTTTTCTTTCCCTTTTTCTCTATATTCTAGCTCTGGCAACGTTGTAGATAATTTTTTATTGGCTGGAATGCCTCCATTGTGCTGCAAAAGTATTGAGGAATCCATATCAGATAATCCTTTGGCTGCTGCAATACCAAAATAAAAAAATACTTAGTTCATTAAATCAATCAATACTGTGACATACAAAGAAAAAATCATTAACTACACATCAATCATTTCTGCAGAAAACAATCATTATTAGAGCCTATCTAGAAAAGAAAATCAGAAGCCATGTGATATTTTAAGACTTTTTTTCTCATTACAGGCAGGAAACAGTAACCAAGGGATTTAATAATAAATACTAGTGCTTCACAGAACACTGACTGACTAGATTGATGCAGTTGCTAATAAAGAACTAAACAGAGAGGACATAATTCATTTCTACTGTCATATTAACCACTGCCAAAATAATTTTATTTCTGGGTCCTCTGTTTCTAAGTTCACTGTACTTTCATCAAAACAACATGAACTGAAGCAGCTCTTCCTCAGCAGGCTTTTTCTTTTTTAAACAGCAAACACATATAGTAATAAGTATAACTTGCCTTCCTCTGCCTCCCTCTCTTGCCTTTGTAGCATCTGCTGTTCTGGGGGAAGAGCTTGCTGGAGAAGCTGCATGTAGAACTCATTCTCTTTCTGTACTTCTTTTTGTTTTCTTAAACGCATTTTGTAGCTGACGTAACTTTTAAAGCCAAAGCCCAAAGTCACAACAGGGTAGCCAATACTAAGAAAAAAAGCAATGTTATTATTCAAAATGTAGCCATAATAGCAAATTAATAACTTGTAATAAATTACATAGCTGTGAATACATCTGGATTACAACTTTTCATAGAAAATTATATATAAATTTTTTTTTGCTGCACTACAATAAAGCTACAGTTCAAAAACACAGGCACCTCTTTATCAAGACAAAATTACAGTTCATTACAGACAGCAATTAACACTAGCATAGATTAAAGGATTACGACAATGCAATTACACTATGCATAGCAAAGACAGCTTTTAGACAAGCACCAGACTAGGAATTATGCATCTTTTAAGGAGATAAGAGCCAAATACAGCAGAAGTTCCCAGGTTTTGTTCCTACAGGGCCATGTAATACGTAAAGACATTAATCTGGGAGATGTGTTAACAAACATTCATCCAGAACAGTGAAAGCAGAAACTGATCCTTAGCCTCATCGTTTTTGCACTCAGAAACTAAGAGCAGATCCCTTTTCCACTACTCTTTAAAGCTGAGACAAAACAATAGTTCTCCAAAATGCCGCCACTGCCACCGGCCCTGTGATACCTCCTCACTGCAGCACAGGCTGGAGAAGACCTGGAGAACACAAGAGCTGGAGAAGCTGCTGGAACACAGAGCTTTGGGCCCAAGTGCCATCCCCCACCCTGGTACAGCTCCAAGTGACCCTGGAGGTGAAGCCTCAGTAACCACCTGCCTCTGCTGAGGATGGCCACAACTGAGACATCTCTTGTGGGCAACAAACTGCCCTTGGAAATCCTTGTTTAGGAGGCTGACCGTGAAGCTGTAAGCAAAAAATATCTGATCCCTAAACTTAGTTCTTCCACTTATCTTACTGACAGATAAGACATGAAGAATTTCACTTCCAGCCAGACTCCGCAGTTCCATTTGTTGACGGGGGTGACAGAAGCGTAACACAACTTCAGAATTATTTTTTTTTGCGTATCAGTTTCATCACGCAGAATTATTAGCTTGTGTTCTTATTAGCTTGTGACAACTGCACCGAAATAGAATGCTAACAAATCATGCTAGTGTATTTGTTAACAAGGATACTCGATCAATCAGCAAACGTCTCTGTATAAAAATATATGTATCTTTGACAAGTACTTTAACAAAGCGCAGTGAAGTTGCATTTTTAACACTGAAGGTATCCTCGATCAGGGGAAAACCAAGATGTAGATGACTATTAACCATTAAAATCTGCCCATTCTTTGCTCAGTAATAGCACTGTGAAAATTGCATTTCTAAGTCAGCTGCCAGAATGCAAGAATCATTTGCATATGCATCTGACATTATCTCTGCCAATGCTTCTTTTGTAACGCTGTGTAAAGCCAGCTGTAGCTACAGTTCTAAAACTCTGATGACAAGCCAAAATGTTTGCATCCAATTCAGCAGCAGAAAGACCTTTCTTCACAGCTCCTAAAGTGCTTTTGGAACCTATTATAGAATTTAATTAGTGTTTAAGGGATTTATTGCACAATGTAGACAATATAAATTAAAATGACAGATGTCTAATTTATTGGAGACTGTATCACAGGGAACTGGACCAAATGACTCCAGGAAAAACAGGACATATTTTAAATGCAGCCCAATCAATGCATGCCACACCAAAAACTTGCAGAATAAAAGCACATTTCTTCCAGATACGGATACTCTGAAGTTAAGGCTTTTGCCTGAAGTCACTCTTATCACTTCCAATGAAGTGGTGTAGTAAGTGTTTGGGTTTTATGTTCTGTCATGATTTTCAACCTGAGGCTTATTCCCTTCCTCTGCTGATCTATGAAATCAGACGCTCACGAGAACCCTTCTTGTTGGAGGGGAAAAAGAGGAGCACTTTATACAGAAAAAGAAGAAAATTTTCATAACTGGATACGTAAGTTATTGGTAAAAGGAGCTAAAAACCAGTTTCACTGTCTATTCACTACGTAAATACAATATTTGCAAACAAGAACTTTCAAGAATGCTAGGAATAGCCATGCTACAAATTCCCTGCAGCTCACAAGCACTGTGTCTTCAGAAAGGTTGCACCTGGTTAACACTTAGCATACATTTCTCCTGGAATATTTAATGACAGATGTGCAAGGGGAGAACTGAACAGACAAACCCTGAACCAAAATAAGAAGCCCTGAACATTAATTTCCCTGGTGAAACAAAGGTTAATAAGAAAAGGAGAATAAAACACTTACCAGTGTGCTGCAAATGGACGACAAAGGTCTACATGGAAGTTTTTTAAATCTTTAAATCTAATGGCTGCTTCAATATAAACAAAGAGTATCCACAGTGATACTGTCGGTAAGCACACACCCCTCTCTATTAAGAGAAGAAGAAACACCTTAGTAATATATTACAAGCAGCAAATATTTTATTTTTAAAACATTCAAAAAGTCAAGGGAAATTTTCAGACATACAGGAAATTGTAAGAGGGTTTTTTCAGATTAAAGTATCTAGGATGTCTTTATTTTAAACCAATTGTAACTTTTGTGTTCTTATCGTGCTTTATTACTTTTATAAGGCATCAGTGAAAAATAACAGATGCGCAGCTAATGAAATAGCTTGGCACAAAACCCTATACAGAGAAGGAACACAAATGGAAGAAACTGCAGAAGATGAGGTAATGTTACAGCTTATGATCTTTGAGTCAGAAGTGGTAAGCTTGGACTACTTTTTCACTCCAAGTTAGGTATATCTTGGTAGCAGCAGCAGTGAGCAAATCTGCTGAGAAAACAGGAGTGAGTAAGCACAGCACTGGTTACTCCATATACAGTAATGCAGACAACAGTCTGCAACTCACAACTCTACATCAGAGGAACATTTAGGATGCCGTATTGATTTCTTTCTCCAGCACTGCTGGTGAGAATGTAAAATAGAAGCCAAGCAAAACTAAGGTCTTAAACCTCTTGGCCAATGGAAAATGCCACTGTTGCTTGCAATATAGCCACTGTGAATTTCCACAAATCAATTCCAGTTACATTCCACAAGCTTCATAAAAATAAACAAAGTTCTTGATTACCTACTTACAGCAACATATTGTGTGCTGGTTTGGAAACCGATCTCAAATTTGAAACTAAAGAGAGCATTACTCTGAGGCCCTGACGTTATTTACTGTGGTCTCTGCTTCGGTCTCTCTTGAATAGCTGCACTCTGCGTAAATGAGAAACCTATAGCAGAAACTGTCAGCCTAAAGGGACTGAACATTTCAGCTAGGTAGACACTGCACCCAAAAAGATCGTAACTTCCTAAAAAATACAAAGAGCAAGTTCCCATTAACTTAGATGAGCATTTAAAAACAAGTCTCCCTAAGGCTGCAGTGAATTAAAATATTAAACAGGCTCAGTTAAAATTGGCCCATCAGGTTTTGTCCTTTAGGGTTTCTAAACATCCACCCTGAGAACAACTTCAGATAACACTTTAACATCTTAATACAATCTTAAAAATAACTCCAGAATTTTTACGTATTTTAAATTGGGCAGCAACTGGTTCACAGTATCTTCCATTAGCTCCCACATTGTCATTATTACAAATGACTAACTTGTCAGAAAGATGACTGCTTCCACCAGTAAGCTGAGAAATGATCCATGCTATCCTGGAAATTCCTGTGATCTGATGGCAAGTCTAACATGAAATATTACAAAAGCCCCAAAACCCAAGGACTTGGGTAGGGAAAACTTACCTCTAAAAAAACCCTCAAGTTTTATTCCTAAAATTTTCTGATTGAGGGAAAGACATATACATAACCCACATCAACTATTAGTGTTTGTGCAAACTAAACCACCTCCCCTCAATCCAACTGCTGTCCCATTACCCAAGAATTTATTAAAACAACCCCAAACAACTAAGGGTAAAAAAAAAAAAAAAAAAAAAGGGGGGTGGAAGCAGGGACAAGACTTTTCCATACATGTGTCAAATTGCTGGGGCAGCCAACTGGTACTATCAGCCTTTTTTTGCTCAGAAACTGAACCCAGTTGACACAAAGATTTGACTAATAGGAATTTAAACTACGATAACACCCAAAATTAACAGCACACTGATTGAGTAGGAGGAGGAACGTAACACTTCCACAAACTTCGTATGGACTCTGTTATTTGCTGAATTGCAGCAGAAGTGTTTCGAAGTCAAGAAAATAATCTTTTTTTTTTTTACTGCTCTGGAATTCCTGTTTTCACACTTTCAGTTCCATTGATCGAGCTTTAATGATCACTACAAGATGCACCCAGACACGTGTGCAAGTGCAAATCAGCACACTAACGAAAGCAAAAGAACATATAACAAAAGTGCATTAAAACAAATGTAACAAATAGAAGAGGGTTTCTGCATGCTACTAAAAGCTGAAATCAGTAAGTTGTAAATAAGAAACAGTGACCTACCTGTGTGCCAGACATACTGTACCCAAACATACGTGCTGGCAGCAAAAAACAGCCATTGTATTGGTATGAAGAGCAGACATATTATATTTGATGTGAATGCTACACAAACAAAAAATACTGAAAAGGCCTAAAAGAAAGGAGGGGTGGGGAGAAAGAAGAGCGTTTTGGTTTATTGCAGCAAATATTACCAACTTATTCATAGTGACACCACAATGATTTCAACATGGAAACACTAGTGTTGTTCATAATCAGGGCAAAGAAATGGAGCAGTCTAGCCAATGAAAGTAGAAACGTAGACAATTAAAGAGAGAACAGGCACAACTTGAGAGTTTGTGCCCATGCACTCTTCCAACAAGCTTCCAAACAGCTATATTTATTTCTTATTATTTTGTTTGAATACTTGCATTTACGTTGTTGATGTAGTATTATCATTACTAGATTGTTCTTCTGGAAAACAGATCATGACCAAGCAGCAGCGTCATTCACTCTTTCAGAGGGCAGTAAATATGTAAACAGGCAAGGGCTGTCATTTTATTTTTAAATAAGACCCTAAAAAAAAATAGGGATCTAAACCAATTTGCTAATCTCAGGAATTCAAACAATATTTTCCCATGGTGAAAATTTGATAGCTATGTATTTCGCTTCCACTTGCCACAGATAAAATAGGCCAGAGAAAAAGAGAGTTGAGTCCACGTCACCTAGTCACTCGAAAATTCCTCCTCTTGTGAAAATGATCATCAACGCCATTAAGTTAATTGTGTAACATGGAACATGCCCTGAAACTTTGCAGGATTTTCTTACAAAGGGACAGTAATGTTGTGTTATACTTACCAAACCCTGGTATCTGAAGGAATCGTAAACACTCCTGATGAAGAGCCAGAATGGCCACAGATACTCAAATCTGAACTCGAGGACAAAATCTGCCAACAGTACTAGGGCCCACACTACCAGGAATTTCAGATATAGAAAAGTACTATTAGGAAAAAAGAAAAAAATTTTAAAAAAAAGTAATTTCAGGTCAGTATTTCCAAAAGACAGATTAACATATATTTTTAAAATTAAAAGTTCAGGAATAAAAACTATAGACAACTATAATACATAAGAAAACTTCATCCAAAATAATTTTACAAAACAGGTAATTTTATTATTACATTAAAATCAGGCCTCGTCTAATGAATGTCATTATATTCAACTGCATTTATTTTTAAAATAGCAAAGAAACAGAAGGCTCGCTGCTCTTATAAGACGTTCAGCCACGATCTCCCTTCAGCTTTGCAGCGTATTTTACGAGGTGACTTTTTGCTAACAGGTATGCTGTCACAGCTGAAATGTTTCTCTTCTAGTTTGCACTCTTGTAGCTGGAACTCAGAAATTTCTGTGTTCCCTCTCCCCAACAAACTGCAGATGTTCACTCATTTTCCACATTCAACACAAACTGCAACACCAATAAATTTAGATATATTTTAAGCCTATAACTATAGCAATTAGGAAGACTGTTTAGATACCAAGTTGTCAGAGCTATATTTGAAAACATCCATATTAAAGTAAATGCATCCATTAAAACAAAAAACAAAAACACCAAACAGAAAAATGGAGGCACATGAGGCTTGAGACCAGACAGTCTAACATATATTTTTTAATTATTTCAAAGCCACATTCCCTTATTCTCAGTCCTGCATTTTGAACCACAGATGATCCTTCTTGGCTACAGAGCTCAAAATATTTTGAGATTGTATCTAATTAACACAGTTGCACTTGAGGGATCAGCCAGGTTCATTCTGCTAAAAAGGAGGAAGCAAAAACCCTTTTCCCCCCCAAAACCCAGCACCCAAGACCTAGTATGAGACTCCAGTTCCCCAAAATGCAACTACCTTGTTGCACTGTATTGGGTTATAACAAAGGTGAGGTTTTTAAAATATATATTTTAAATATAATTTCATTTTTTTTTAAATCAAGGGCAGTTTTTCCTTTTAGTGGCTCATTTTTCCTCCCCTATCATACTGCCAACAAAACGAGCAGAACTTTGCCCTGGAATGTTTACTGATAAGTTGCCAAGAGTTTGCATGCACAGTGCCAGGTAGGGTCAAGTTTCTGCACTGTTCACGGACATCTGGCTTTTTTAGGAAGTTGTTCAGAGCTTCAGAGAAGACACAAAATAGAAAACTTCTCTGAAAAAGTGTTATGTACCAGCTGAGGTTTAGAAACAACTGAACCACGCGTCCAATTATCACGGACGTTACTTGTCACTCAAGGTCAGCTTCCAAACCACACGACTAGGAAAACACTTTGTTTTCTTGTGAACCAAAGATTAACTCCACGGTCCTGAACGTGACCCGTATCAGCTTGTCCTGGCCCTACAGCTTCTCCCAATAGAAGAGTTTCTGTGCAGCTTTCTCACTGCCTGTTATCAGGCTCTCCCTTAAAAGTCCAATGCCAAGGTTTTCACTGTCACTAGACTCCCTGGAGGGAATCGCTTCAGTGAAACTACTTACATAAATGCTCTCAAATATACTCACATGAGTACATGCTTTAAATCAGCGCAAACTAAAGAAAGACTTCATAGAAAATACATTTTTGAAGTCTCAGACAAATATGCAACTATTCCTATGTTTAACCTACCTTGGCCTCCCTACCCCCCCCCCTTTCCAATATTCTGTATCTGCAGTTTAACATAATGACACTGGAAAAAAAAAAAAAAACACCAAAGAAGCTACAGGAGGCACTTTAATTCAATGGAAACAAAATTAATGACACACGCTTGGAGAAGTTAAGGCACTGCTTTTTTCAGTTTTTACAGAACCATCACCAGCCACTTAGTCAAAAATTACTCTCTGAGAAGACTGAAACTACAAGTATTAAAAAAACCCACAAACACAACCCACAACAAAAACCAACCAAATAAAACCCACCAAAAAACCTGAAATGGTCACGTTTATCCTGGTAAATGATGCCTGGATATGCTGCTGTTCTCTGTTTATTTAAAGTTTAGATCTTCAGCTGCAATCTATAAAAAAGCAGCTGCATCCAGACAATACTTGGACATAAAAGGTGACAGACATTTGGGTACGGAGTCACCACTGTGTTCGTTTTGACCACGCTGTTGAATTGTGCATGTGCAAGTCTTAAGATTTGAGAAAATATATAAAGGCATCACACCCAAGCAATCATTATTCTGTCTGTTTAGCTGAAAAAGCAGTTGTGTTGTATGGCAGTTTTTCCTGGGTTAAATTATGGCTATTGTTTATTTTTCTGCCACTGAACTCCATAAAGAGACTACATTTTTTCTAGCAAATTAAGGTTGTCAGAACTAGTGCTTTTCAACTGTGAAGTGCCACTCTAAGTTAAAGCATTTGCTGAATAAGAGTTCTGCAATACAGCCATTAAAGTGATTTCTAATATTAAATTCATATCAATCCGAAGGCCATGGTGACATTTACCACCTTTTAAAGTGGAATTGTAACAATACAACCTTCATAATAAGGTTTTCCCAACAGTATTAAAGACCCTACTTCTCAGTCATCCGAAGGACTCAAAATCAATTAAGAATGTAATGAATACAAGAGTAAGACACAAGAAAGTTATTGCCTTTTATAGAAACTTCAGCCACTTATGTTGGCCTCAGCAACAAAGTTCACTGTTGTGCAATATATTCTGCATATGTATTCAACTGCATGAGTCCACGTGCATACATGCACTTAGAGGAAACATTTTAAAGGTACTATAGTCCATCAATTGGTTGTTTTTTGGTTGGTTTTTTGTTTTTTGTTTTTTTTTTACATCAGGACTCCCTTCCCTCCCAATTAAAGCACACAGGACTGCAGAATCAGAGACTGCAGTCCCTAACTAAACACTCCACCCAGGCTTTAAAATCAAGACAGGTACCAGCCTAAGGACGACCGCTCCCTCCTTGAAATGGGCCGGTTTTACAAACTGTGCTGAGCTTCCAGTTACACACGCAGCTGGGTTACAACCGGCGCTGCCGCACACTGCAGTCTGCAGATGGCAATGAGTCTTTGTAGGAGGAAGAAAGAAACACAAATCTCGGCTTCCCTTCTTCCACAAAGGTATGCTGCACGCCACGATTTGCTGTTCCTGGCAAGCACATGGTTCGTTGGTTAATTTACAAGTGCTTCTGAACAGACACCTCTTCAGTGAACACTTAAATGAGCACTGGCTGAAAATTATCCAGCAAAATTAAACCCCAGTGAAAAACAGCCTAACGGACTTCCCATTTGGACAGGTTAATCACTCTCCTGCTCTTTTGTTTCATACAACAGACCATTCAAATAAGATCACATGAATGAAATGACTAACAAAATTTAGCAATAGCCCTCCTCCCTTTCTCTGCTTTGTACCAGCCACTTTTACTTCATTTTTGCTCCTCAGTGCCTTGATTCCTTCCAGACACCGTTCTTCCCTTCAGCGCATTTCTATTGTTATCTAGGCTGTCCCCAGCACGCCTCCCCTCCAACCCGCTCATCCTACAGCCGAGACAGCCGGCGCTCCTTCGGAATCCAGCACCAGCCATTTGGTGCCTGTGAACCTCCGATAGTCATTGATCTTTCTGGGCACATGCACACATTTCTCCAATTTTGATAGCTACTGCGTCAGTATCCTCACTTAGAGGCAACACTCACTAGGCAAAAGTGCCTTTTAACCTCTGTAGCCTGCATATTACAAAGGCTTAAATATATTCCATGATGCCAATTACAATTCCAAGTTTGTTCTCAATACAGGAAGATTGTTGCAGATAAATACCTAAAAATCTGGGTTATCCAATTTTCTGACACACGTCAAAAGAACTGATTTTGGTCATCTGCCAGAGGTTTAAGGGGGACAGGGCTTTCCCTATAAAATCAGCATATGGCATCTAATCTTGTAGGGTAATACAAGATGAGGGGAAAGGATGGACACATTCACGAGAAGTGCAGGGTACTGAACAGGAAGGAGCAGTGATTACAGTGCTGCAAATTCTGTGAAAGGTCAACTGATTGCTAATGTATACTGAATATAAAGATTTATTCATAACCCAACTGTGGCCATGCTCCCCCTTTGAATTTCCAAACAAATAATTTTCCTCCTTATTCTTCCTCCCCTCCCTCAAGTGCCAGATGCCATTTCCTTCTTTTTTTTTTTTCCCCTCTTGTTCTTTGTTCTCTTTTTACTACCCCGCAGAAACAGATATTGTGCTTGCTGTAAGGTAAAAATCCACCAAAAAAAAAAAAAGATCACTAGGAAAAAACAATTACACAACCCAAATCCAAACTGGTAGCAAATTAAGCCTCTATTCTATCCTACTATTATCAGCAAGTCCCAAAGGCTGGAAAGTGAATCTTAGCAGAATTGATGGGATGTTTCATTTTGCAGCCTGACTCACACAAGACAATGGGTGGAAGGCATCCTGAGGCTGGCTGGGCGCCAAATACAGAGACAGGCTTTAGAAAGGTGAAGTTCAGCACACGTGTGAAATTACCAAGGAGTCAACGACCACCATCTCAAGGTTACCCATCCAATGCCAGGCAGAACACTGGGGATGCTGACTGAGTATCACTGGGGACTTTCAAATAAAAAGGATTCTATATGTTAACATACAAAAATATATGTATGTAAGATTATTACTAGTGGACATAAAAAATAGTAAAGAATGAACACAGCAAGTATGCAAGGGAGAAAACATGACTGCTGGGATGTGGTATGCATACTGGAAACTATTCTGTGAAATATCTGCCACCAAAATTTTTAAAAAGGAAGAGAAATGTAAAGAATCCCAGGAAACCTCACTGAGTATTTATTCAGTGTCCTGGTATGGCATAGAATGTATCAATCTCCAAACTATGGAAATGTAAGTAAAAGAAGACAAAATAGAAAACTCTTACAGTAATTCTGGAAGCAAGTGTAATAGACTGCTGCACCACAGGCATATAATCAGCAATCAGTATTGCAGTACTGAAACAAGAGAAGCTGTTAGCCCACCATGGTAACTCAGCTGAAAACACCAGAGTCCAGAACACACAAAATAAAGCTAGAGAAACTGCAGTGTGCAGGGAATGAAAGTCACTGGCAGAGGGAGGCAATACTACATGTACCAGTGGGGTTGACACAGTAGAACACATTTAAATGTAAGCTAAAGTAGATTTGAGACCTGAATTTGAGTTAAAAGTCATAAAAGGTAGCGCTGTTGGTTTGTTACAGACCTCCAGGGCAGGTTGAGAAGAAAATATTTTTTGCCATATAGGAAGCTTATAAAAAAAGTGCCAGAATAAATCAGTAGGAGAATCATTATGGTTTTTTAAAAAAACCCCACACAACTAAAAAAAAAAAAGGCCACATTCCTAGAGTTAGTAATGAACTGGTTTTCCTTACAGTTTATTTGGCTGTCAGCAGAGTCAAAATCAAGTCCTTGGAAATAAGCCACATCAGAAGTTAGCTGGCACACAGAGCCACGGCAGTATTTTAGCAAAAGGATCGTGTTATCAAGAAATTCTGCCCAGTACAAGATGCCCAGGGGCACAGCCTGCCCTTATGTCATCAGTGGAGATTACAGACACATATGCATCCTCCCAGGCACTCACTTAGCTGCCAGCCCAGGTAATGCCTGTGATAATGGGTAATATAGGGCTAAAAAAAAAAAAAAAAATATCCTAATTCTAAGGGGATGTACAGTGTTTAAGGACTATTGTCAAGAAATCCATGATACATAGCATGTCAGCCGACGTGACAGCATAAGTTCAGCCAATAACTTGTGGAATTCATCTTGAAACTTAACCAGCTACAGAATTGGTACCAAGTGCCAACATGACTCAGTAGAGCCAAAACAAGCAGTATCAGCAATAAAGCTGAAGGATTTTAAACAGATCAAGGATGAGGACTGGGAAGCCTTAGAAACAAGCAGTAACAAGTAAACTTTAATTGCTTAACTGATGACAAGCTGCAATGAATACTTTAATTAACAATTAAGGTTTTAATGCATGAAGTGTCAAAGGTGTAAGATGTTAATCACTCAATGGCAACGGATAGCTTAAAAAGTGAAAAGGTGAAGTTTTGAACATACACTGTGGAAATAACAAGAGGTCTCAACGTCTACCCTTAGTCTGTTAGTTTTGGAGTTATACTGAAAGCACAGTTATGTTCTAATTATAATAATGTTCTTTCCACAGACACTATAATACTTCTAAATAGCACAAATCTTTATTGTACTTGCACATAATATTAGATTTGGATTCATCGGGTTTTTCAGAGTACTGGTAGCAAAATTCCCTTAAAGCAGTGAGACTGCACCACTGGCATCCAAGGCTTCAGTCGCTGCACACAGGAGCAAAGCTGCTAATGGCAGTGCTGGCATGCCATGTAAGGCAGCGCTTGCACACAGCCTGGAGCACCTCAGAGCTGTAGGTGGGGAGTAAAGCTACATTGAAAGGGAAAAAAGGGCTAAAAGAGGCAGAAAGAAGGAAGGAAAAACAGCAGAACGGAAAAAAAAAATAATCAGTCTAAAGAAGAACAGAGGGCAGCTGTTGAAAATTGGGTGGGGAAGACTGGTCAGGAATAACTTTGAAAGTGCTTACGAGGGGCTGAGGCCAAACAGTCTTAAACATTTAATTTAGTTAGTGAGTGTTGGGGGAAGTACTTTAAAGAACTACAGCTGTAAAAATTCAAATAAGAGAGGCTGTGAGCCCTTAGATCAACTTGTTAGAAAGGATACTGCAGAAGTTGGCAAAAAAATTAATGTTCAGGGAGACAGAATATTCACATTTTTCAATGCAACCCAGGATTTTACATTTCTAAGCCTGTTCTGTGACTAGAAATTATTTTTCTATCGCTTCTTATCATTTCTTTCAGATTTACATATGTAGAGAATCCTGCCACCAGAGTTTTACTGAAGGACAATTCCTTCATTGCTTCACCTGCTCCAAAACTCTTCAGCTTTGCAGCTCTTAACTACACTCACATGTGTCTGTTAGTGACAGTTGTGCCTAGCTCTGCATTGAAAGACTAGAGAGGGAACAAGGATGGGAAGATTGGTCTTCATTTAAAAAGCAAACAAATATCCTACCAAAGTGTCTTAATCATGCTGTTTGCTCAGCCTAGCTGCTTTACTTATAACACTATGATGCTACCTACTGATAACAGTATTTACTGGTTTGTGTAAGCTCATGGTGACAATTAAGATAAATTGAGTAAATAACTACATTAACTACAAGAATTTAGAAACCTATAGTTATATAAGAAGCTACCTGTATGTAATCTCTTCGAATTATAGGTGGCAAAGAGAAAAAAAAAAAAAAAAACAAGAGCCACAATCCATGCAGAAGTACCTCTCTCCAGTTAGATTTCCAAAGAGGCAAAGCTTTCACGCTAGTTTCTCTTTCCCTTCTGTGGGGCAATACTTTGAAGTCACTGACTATTTCTGTTTATCAAAATGCCACCTGAAAGAAAGGCTAAAAAATCCTATTTCTGAACAAAAGCATTCCAGGAGAAGTTAGTACAAGAAGCCAGATGTCTGTCTTAGCTGTTCACACAATTACAACAGCTCTACATGCTGAACACACTCATCATCTGGTGTTTTCATCTTTTTCTGGTTTTTCCCTCCTTCTCTCACCCCACCTTTCCAGCCAGTCATCTCAAAGGTAAGCGAGAGCACATGATTTTGAATGACTAAATAATTATATAAGGAATTGCTTATATTTGAATTATTTTCCTAAGACTGGTCATCTTAAATATTAACTACAAAGCAATGGATGTTTTTTCTTCTAACATTCCAAGCACCATTTTCTCAAAAACCTGAGAGTTGAAAGCAACTCCCATAGAGATTCACTGCAAGCAGGATAAGCAGTATATTGTGACAGTTTCTGTTACAGTCAGAGCTCACTATCAACCATTTCCCTTACGCAAACTGTAGGAGTTTGCTCAAGCTTCCAGTCACTGCGTCTATAACCCTCAACTGAAACAGAAACAGGACATTATGCTTACTATAACTTTCAAAAGCCAGCTTTCCAGCCTCTAGTAAAACAAACTCTTCTTTATTCAGAAACACATAATTATTGTATTTCATATAAAATTTGGCATACTTAGATATGCAGGAGGGCAGCTCTCTAAAATACTCTTTAAAAACAGGCTCACAGGCAGCAAATGCTCAGGAACCCGCGCTTTGCTGCGTTCTGCATGTAAGCCCCTGGAAAGCATGCTTTTATTTGAGACACCGATGAGGTACAGCCCACGCCTAAGAACGTGGATCTCATTTCACTAGTCTCCTCTCCTATTTCGTAGGTCGGCGGCGAGTCAGATACCCACTGTTTTCACCACAGGGCCATCCTTCCCCGCTCCAGGCATTTACCCACACAAGTTCTTGCTCGCATCCCTCGCTGCTACGCCTATCCCTCTCGCGTGCTTCCACTGCAGAGGCCACAGCACGGGCACCTTTGTCACCACGTGAAACCCAAGTTTCTTAACGTTAGCTGCCGCCCGCCGAAAGCCAGCGGCCCAGATGTTTGCCTGCTCTCCCACGCTGCTCCTGTTGAGCCACCGCAGCACGCGGTTCACAGGCTCAGGGAAAGCCCAGCTGTAAGAGCCCACTCGGGAAACCTCCCCCGGGAGGAGAGAAGGCGCTGAGGGCCCCCCCCGTCCCCTCAGCGGCTCCCCGCTGCTCCGCCCCCCCCCCGCCTCTCTCGCAACTGCCCAATCA